AGGGCAGGTAGGAACCAGTAGAAAATCAGTAGCATGAGATAAACCAAGCACACCAAAATAACATTTCAATAACTCTGAAAATTTTGAGCCATAGCCTATCAGAGTAAATCAAGTCCCATGTGCTAACCTAAATAATGGTGAGTATATGCTCAAAAAAACTAATGAAATAGACCCAAGGTTATAGTAAAACACAAAATTTCTATCATACTAGAAACCAAAAATAAAAAAATATATAAGCTGACTGATGAAAGATACTTACAAATCATTCTATTATAAAGACACAGGCACACATATGTTGATTGTGGCACTGTTCACAATAGCAAAGACTTGGAACCAACCCAAATGCCCATCAATGACAGACTAGATAAAGAAAATGTGGCACATATACACTATGGAGTACTATGCAGCCATAAAAAGGATGAGTTTATGATCTTTGCAGGGACACAAAGGGAAAAGGACTCCTTATTCAGTAAATGGTGCTGAGATAACTTGCTAACCATAAGCAGAAGATTGAAACTGAATCAATTTCTTTCACCCAATTCAAAAAATAACTCAAGATGGACTAGAAATTTAAATCTGAGATCTCAATCTTAAAAGATAACCTAGAAAATACTCTTTTTAACATTGGCCTTAACAAAAAATTTTGGCTAAGTCTCCAAAAACAATTTCAACAAAAACAAAAACTGACAGTAGGACCTACTTAACCAAAAAGCTTCTGTTCTGCACAGCGAAATAAATTATCAATAAACATATAACCAGGAGAATGGGAGAAAATATTCACAAACTAGGCATCCGATGAAAGTCTGAATATCCAGAACCTGTAAGGAACTTAAATCAACAGCCAAAAAAAAAAACTCTGTTACAAATGAGAAAAAGCCATGAGCAAACACTCCTCAAAAGAAGACATACAAGTGGCCAAGAAACATGAAAAAATGCTCATCATCACTAATCATTAGAGAAATGTAAGTCAAAACCACAGTGAGATACCATCTCACACAAGTCAAAATAGCTATCACAAAAAGTAAAAAAAAAAAAAATAACAGATGCTAGTCATTGGTAGCTAGGAAGGCTGTGGAGAAAAGCAAAAGCTTACATACTGTTGGTGGGAATGTAAAGTAGTTCAGCCACTGAGTAAAGCAGTTTGGAGACTTCTCAAAGAATTTGGAGTTCGTTTGTTGGCTGCATAAATGTCTTCTTTTGAGAAGTGTCTGTTCATATCCTTTGCCTTCTTTTTGATGGGGTTGTTTGTTGTGTTTTTTTTTTTCTTATAAATTTGTTTAAGTTTGTTGTAGATTCTGGTTATTAGTCCTCTGTCAGATGGGTAGATTGCAATATTTTTTTCCCATTCTGTTGGTTGCCAGTTCACTCTAATGGTAGTTTCTTTTGCTGTGTAGAAGCTCTTGAGTTTATTGAGATCCCATTTGTCTATTTTGGCTTTTGTTGCCATTGCTTTTGGTGCTTTAGTCATGAAGTCCTTGCCCATGCCTATGTCCTGAGTGATATTGACTAGACTTTATTCCAGGATTTTTATGGTATTAGGTCTAATGTTTAAATCTTCAATCTATCTGGAGGTAATTTTTGTATAAGGTGTTAGGAAGGGCTCCAGTTTCAGCTTTCTGCATATGGCTAGCCAGTTTTCCCAACACCATTTATTAAATAGGGAATCCTTTCACCATTGCTTGTTTTTGTCAGGTTTGTCAAGGATCAGATTGCTGTAGATGTGCGACATTCCTTCTGAGGCCTCTGTTCTCTTCCATTGGTCTGTATCTCTATACTGTAAGTTTGTAGTATAGTTTGAAATTATATACCTTGATGCCTCCAGCTTGTTTTTTTGTTGTTGTTTGTTTGTTTGTTTTGGCTTAGGATTGTCTTAGCTATGCAGGCTCTCTTTTGGCTCCATATGAAGTTTAAGATGTTTTTTTCCAATTCTGTGAAGAAAGTCATTGGTAGCTTGATGGGGATGGTGCTGAATCTATCAATTACTTTGGGCAGTATGGTCACTTTCATGATATTGATTCTTCCTAACCATGAGCATGGAATGTTTTTCCATCTATTTGTGTCCTCTCTTATTTCCTTGACTTGTAACTAACCCAAATGCCCCTCAGTGATAGACTGGATAAACAAAACGTGGCACATATACACCATGGAATACTATGCAGCCATGAAAAAAGGATGAGTCCATGGAACTCAAGAATATATTGTCAATTAGTGAGAAGAAACAGCAACAATGTAAAATTCAAGAGAAAAACTTACACCTACCCAGAGGTGTATTCAAATGTCAAGAATCAAGAAAGAATGAAATATGGAGGATATAGTTTGAAATGGAAAGAAAAGGGGCACTCTTTTGCAGGTGCCTTTAGTTAAACATTGACTATACCAAAGGCGAGGCATTGATTAGATCAAAGTTGATCACAGTAGCCCTTGGATCTGCTCATGAAAATACATATGAAAAAGCACTGGTTAAATATAATTAATGGTTAGGACTGAGACATCTAAGTTGTCAGCTATAGACAGCTAAAGCATCAATAATCTCACACACATAAATATACATACATACACACTCATAAAAATTGAAATAAAAATGCTACAGGTTTGCAAAAAGGATTATCTTTAATAAAAAATGGATTTAAATATTTTTCTTAAAAAACTGGCTAAAATTATTTATATTTAATCATATAATAGCACAACATCAAAGAAATATTTTTCTAAGGTTTTTGTGAACTCCAATAATTTAGATAAAAAAAATTCTGATGTTGCTAAGATGTAGTTTTCACTGTTTGAACAGACAATAACATAGCTATTATAAATAATGCAGAAGAAAACATAGTGTCACATAAGAAAATGATCTCAAGAGATCAGCAATCTGAATTTTCAGAAGCAGCTGAATGACCAGGACTTTCCACAGCAGCATGGGTGGTGGCAGGCATATCCACAGTAACCATAGCCACAGCCAAGGCCTCTGTAGCCATGGCCCAGCCTACCATAGTAGTTGCTGTAAAAGCTCATGGTGTCAATAAAGACAGGCTCAGTTGTATGGCAGGGTCAGATTCTAGAGTTGTAGGTTTCTAATTTGCACTGGGCCTTAAACAGCACCTGAGTGGTATGTGGGGCAAACCACATCCACTGTTGGACTCATGTTCCAAACTAATTGGCATTAAAACCATCACAAAAATTAAAACCATCTCAAGTATTCCTCCCATGCAATATATCCAACACAACATTACTATGTCAGGATGCTGGAAGCAAAATCATGTGCCTTTGATGAGAGATTACTCTCCTGCACTGGTGGCTGCATGCCAAATTTAAACTATATTGCTAGCTACCATGAGATCATTTAACCTATATGGACATCACCTTATAAAAATTGTTTTTTGTCTGAAATATTTTCCTTTGCATCTGCATATATGCAGCCTTTGGAACAAAAGGATGACTTCAAAGACGGTAGAGAAGGACGAATATCTTGTGGGGAAAAAGGAATGGTGGCAGTGTTAATTTGTAAATTATTGACTGATAAGATGCCTTATTAATTTTTTGTGGAGCAATATTATTTACTTTGAGTTAAACTTTACATAAATATGCATCTATCATTTTGGATATGTTCCAAAGAAATAATTAGAGTTCCTGAAGTTTAAACCCACAGACCATGGTTATATAAAAAGGTAAAGACTTATTCTGTAGAAATTTGAGTTTGAAAATCAGTTTCAGAAATATTCAAAGATGTATTGATGTACCTCCCAGTATGACACAACGAAATAAGCACATCTTTTCTTGGATTCTTGCCCAAAATGTATAATCCTAGCTACTTGTAAAAATGTCAAGCCCAAATTGAAGAGCATTCTATAAAGGATTTGGCTCTTCAAATTTCAATACCATCAACTCAAGGAAAACTTAAAAAACTGTCCCCAGTAGGAAGAGACTAAAGAGACATGACAACAAAATGCTATGCAGAATCTTGGAATGGGTTCTGGAACAGAAAAGGGAGAATAGTGGAAAAAATGGTGAAATCCAAATAAAGCTTAAATATTGTTCATTATCAATTTTTGGCATTAATAATTTTACTTTGTTATAAAAGACATAAATGTAAGTGTTTCTAGGTGAAGAATATACAGAAATATTCCATATATTTTTGCAACTTTTTTTGACAATTTCACTCTTTTTGCTCAGGTTGGAGTGCAATGGCACAATCTCTGCTCACTGCAACCTCCACCTCCCGGGTTCAAGTGATTCTCCTGCCTCAGCCTCCAAAGTAGCTGGGATTACAGACATGTGCCACGACACTCTGCTAATTTGGTATTTTTAGTAGAAACAGTGTTTCACTATGTCAGTCAGGCTGGTTTCGAACTCCTGACCTCAAGTGGTTTCAAACTCCCACCTCAGGCTCCCAAAGTGTTGGAATTACAGGTGTGAGCTACCACACCTGGCCGCAACTTTTATTAAGCCTAAATTTTCAAAATAAAAAAATTGGAAAGTAGAATTTTAAAATGCTATGGATTGTTTTTATTTGTTCATGTATTAATTCTTTCATATATCAAACTTTAAAGAACCAGTTTTATATTGGGCACTATTAGGAGACTTGGGCATAAAGCAGTGAATAGGACAGAGAAGATCACTATTGTTCAGGACCTTGCATTCTGGATTGAGCTATGGTTGGGAACGCAGGCAGGTATTTGAAAGCAAATATGAAAACTAAATGAGATTTTTTTTATGATAATGAGTCTATTTAAATAATACATCAAGGTTACTGAGATAAATTTAAAGAGTATTGGTGAGACTGTTTCTAAGTAGGTAGTAAGGGAATGTTTAAGATGAATCAAAGGAAGAATACGATCCTATCATTGCCGTATTACTTTCAGAAGGTAATTACTCCAAGCAGAGGCTGTAAGTTGAAAATGAAGCGATAAATACCAAGAGCCAGAAGTTCATTGTTATCTTTGCACCATAAGAAAGAAAGGTGTTCACAAGATGTACGCAGAGATGTAAAGTCTGTGTCAAGACGGACCATGACGGCCATGTTTTCCAAACTTTGCATTGTCAGATACAGTAAATAAAAATGAAAATAGGCAGATAAATCTGATTTTCAGATAAATATTTTTGAATAAACATTTCTCATTCAATATTTAAGATATTTAGGGCCGGGCACGGTGGTTCACGCCTGTAATCCCAGCACTATGGGAGGCTGAGGTGGGTGGATCACGAGGTCAAGAAATCGAGACCATCCTGGTCAACATGGTGAAACCCTGTCTCTACTAAAAATACAAAAAAAAAAAAAAAAATTAGCTGGGCATGGCGGTGTGTGCCTGTAATCCCAGCTACTCAGAAGGCTGAGGCAGGAGAACTGCCTGAACCCAGGAGGCGGAGGTTGTGGTGAGCCGAGATCGCGCCATTGCACTCCCAGCCTGGGTAACAAAAGTGAAACTCTGTCTCAAAAAAAAAAAAAAAAAAAAGATATTTAATATCCTGGAACTCAAATTTAGCTCAGTTTCTGATAGAATCTAGCAACTGTAATGTAGGAAAGCAATAAAGCATTTTCCTCTGGAGGAGCCTAATTGATTTGTTTTCCATATACTTTGAGATGTAGAGAAAAAGAAGGGAAAAGATTTGGGTGTTACAAAGTATCATGAATTCCATTTCTTCCTGATAATTTTTGATGATCATTAAAAATAGCCATTTGCATATATGTATCTGGAAATAAATTTATCCAAAATAATCCATTTAAAGTGAGTTTAGTTAGACTATAAGAAGAGCAAGTGCCTAGCTGGAAACTCTCATATTTGCAAGCAAAATTTGAGAAGATAAAAGAGAAAAGATACTGAAAATGAGCAGCTGGTGAGATACAAATTAAACCAAATATGTGTGGTAGGTGAAGGGAAAAGCTGTAGAGCTTTTCCAAAATGAAAAGAGAGGTAGGTAAATCTGGGAGCTACTTAGAGACTTAGTAAAATAAAAAAAAAATTTAACTCTAAATTTGCCAAGATTGAAGTCGTGAAGATTCCCATAGGAGCTGTTAGAACAGAGTGGTGTAGCAAAGACCAAAAGGTGTTTGAAGAGTGATTAAAAAGACTAGAAATCCACCATGGAAATACATGTGAAATTTTGCAATGAAGCAGAAAAGTACAATGGGAAAATTTCCCTCAATCTGGAGAGGACTGAGGGCCCTAGAGGGCTTATTTTACTTTTTTCTTATATGGAAAGTACTTAATAATTCATTATAGTTCAAAAAATTACAGCACAAATTTTTTTTAAAAAAGGAACCTCATTGTATGCAAAACTCTCACTGTTATAATTAGAGAGAGAGAAAAAAATCAGTTCTTCAGAAGAAACAAATTAACTTCAGGAAGTAAATTTTATGGAGAAATAACTTAGTAAATGTTATTAGGGCTGTAGTATTGCACATACAAACACAAAATATATTTAATAACTATGGTAATCAAATAAAGCAATGTATTTACATCAATTTTAGGTGATTTTCTCAGAACTTAGATAGATTAGAGAAAGGCTGATCATGTTATTTCAACTAGTTTTTACTTAAAAGTAATTCAAAGCTATTCTTTGATTGACTTTGCACTGTGATAAACTGAGCCTACTGTTATATATCTGTATGGGAATTTGAAAATCATATAGAGAAAATGTCATCTAAGACTGATATCTCAATCCAGCCAATAGGGAATAAAATGTCATAAAATGTGTCTATTTCATAAAAATGAATCTACCAAGACACACACCAAGAAGAACATTCAAAAACACATGTTGGATGAAGAGATGAATGGGTTTGATCTGAACATTAGTATAAAGATATTTGATTTTATTATGATACTTTTTTTTACTTATTTGATATACTTATCAAAAGAGATGCAATGAGAAATCTTAAAAGTTTTGCATTTCATTCCTATGATTTCTAAAAGGGAGTTGGTCAAAATACATGAGGTGTCTAATATCTTGTAGTCACTTCACTGTTACAGAAACTGTCATTAGATTCTACTGCCTAAGATTACGTAAAAAGATACATGAAAATATTTTAGCTCAAAAGCATCGTCAGAATATCCAAAATCAAAAATTGATCGATTACACATGGGGAAGTGGATAAGGTCATCTCGCACAGTCACTCTCTGAAAGACATGAAAGCCTATTTTTCACTAAAATCTGATACTATTCCTACTTTATTTGTGCTTCAACTCTGAAAAATTATTATACCAATTGAATGAAGAAAGTACTAACTTTAGAGTTATACAAGGGAACTCAGCACATCAAGTCAAAAAGAGAATAACCACTGGACGTCTCGATAAAGGAAGAGTTCTGTCTAATACATTGATAAAAATAAGTATATCATATTAAGCTAAGTGGATAGTTACTTAGAATATAATTCTAATATTAATTATGATATTAACTAATCAATGTATACTTAATTTGGGAGGTAAAGTTGGAAAAATTAGATTCCAACAAATGATTTGTTCTGCAGTACTTCCTTACAAATTGAACATAAATGAGAATTAGACTCGTGTATAAAAAGAAAAGTACAATCCATTTTTCTAGACTTAGATTTCTAGAAATAGTAATTAGTTGAAATATTATAATCATCATGGGGGACAAAAGACACATTCAGTAAGAAAAAGAAATGAACACCAAAAGAAGAAAGCTAATTTGCATCAAGAGAGAAAAAAACTCACAAATCAACTTTTCTTGTGAAAGATTTTTTTAGGCAGGGCGCGGTGGCTGAAGCCTGTAATCCCAGCACTTTGGGAGGCCTAGGCGGGTGAATCACAAGGTCAAGAGATCGAAACCATCTTGGTCAACATGGTGAAACCCCATCTCTACTAAAAATACAAAAAAAATTAGCTGGGCATGGTGGCGCGTGCCTGTAATCTCAGCTACTCAGGAGGCTGAGGCAGGAGAATTGCCTGAACCCAGGAAGCGGAGTTTGCGGTGAGCCGAGATCGCGCCACTGCACTCCAGCCTGGTTAACAAGAGCGAAACTCCATCTCAAAAAAAAAAAAGAAAGAAAGAAAGAAAGAAAGATTTTTTAAATAATGAAACCATTGGAACCAAGAGCAAATAAGATTGAGACTAAGGAAAGTATTGTTTTGTTATATAAGGAATGGTTATAGACGGCTAAAATAAAAGTCTCCTTTGAGGCAGGATTACATGAGTGTGAATGTGAGTTCTCCTCTTACTGAAACTCTCAATTGGATAAGGTGAGTACAAACAGAGAGTCCAAATAAAACAAGTTCTTTTAATACCTCTGAGGCTTTATTTAATGGCTGAGAAACAACAAACTAATCACATTAGTCATAAAATTGGCCAATGGCATGACATCTCTAGTAAATTCCATACATGCTAAAGCGTATAAAAGGCCTTCTGCCAGGGAGGTGTCCATACTGAAGTCACCTACACTCCTACCTACCTAAGAATAACCTCCACAACCATCACCATGTGTGGCAGCTACTGCGGAAACTACTATGGTGGCCGTGGCTATGGGTGCTGCGGCTACGGAGGCCTGGGCTGTGGCTACGGAGGCCTGGGCTGTAGCTATGGCTCCTGCTGTGGCCGTGGCTTCCGCAGACTGGGCTGTGGCTATGGCTCCTGCTGTGGCCGTGGCTTCCGCAGACTGGGCTGTGGCTATGGCTGTGGTTATGGCTATGATTCCCGCTCCCTCTGTGGCTGTGGTTATGGATGTGGCTTTGGCTGCGGCTCTGGCTTTGGCTATTACTATTGAGGACACCATGCGAGACTCTCACCCTCTACCCTGTGACATAGGGATTCCCCAGTTATGAATCCCATGTGTTTGGAGCCTTACACTAGGGTGATAATTCTCTCACATCATAGGATTCTGATATGACTTTGCTGAAGACTTTTCCTCTGATGCCCTCTGGATCTACTATCTGAACCTTTTCCTGAATATAACTCATGAAAAATGGGAGACTGTGAAATTCGTCCTGTGAACTCCTATACACCCCTTCCTTGGGATGACACAGTCACAGATCCTGTCTTTTTTAAATGCAGAAGTCTTTTTTCTGTTTCCTAATAAACTTGTTTAATCAAGAACAACAAATTGGTTTTCTTTTCATTTAAAACTCAGTATTTACCATTTTTTCCCTGGTTAAATTAAAAGAAACAATTTTCCTATTTTGGATATCTTATTTTAACATATATTTTTTAATATTTTCATACTTTACAAAAATGATTCTACTGAAAGATATTTATGAAAAAAAAATTCCACCACATGACATCCTTGATTTGGGATAACAAGAAAATAACAACCTTGTAACCCTCAATTCTCTGCTCTGGTAAGGCAGTATGTGTTATGGGGGGTTGTTGCTAGAATTTAAAAAGGTAATATTTGTCTATTTAGTTAAGCAGTGTCTAAACTATGTATTTCAAGTGCTATGATGCCAAAAACCTCATTTTCTAAAGTCCTTTACAAGATGTGAATGCTGACACATGATTCACCACTTCTAGCTTTTATTTGGAGCATATTTAAACAGGAAGAGTTTAAACATTTTTGGAATAAGAAGTAAAGGAATTTAAATCAATCTTGCCTCCACCTAACTTTTACATGCTTTAAACTAGTTGTTTTTTTTTTTTTTGTAAAGGTGAAATCTTTTCTAACATCTGTTACGTATTTAAGTTTAAAGCTGGTTGATTTGATTCTACACTTTTGTTTGTCTTGAGATTTTGAAATATAAATAGAGTCTCAGGAATATGTAAAACATATTAAGAGTTTTAACATTCATGGCATTGATATCTCAAATGGAGAAAAAATAGATTTGTACAGAAATCATATTTGAAGAAATAATGTTTTAAAATATTATAAATTTGATAAAAGGCATACATTTACAGAGTCAAGAGTCTATAAATCCCAATCAGAATAAAACCAAATGAAATTGTGTCCAGATGTAGCATAGTAAAGCTTCTGATAACAAAAAAACTTTGAAAGTTAGGCAAAAACTACCCATTATTTACAGAAAAAATAATTACTGGACATTTATCTTGAGAAACAATAGAGTCCAAAAGACAGTGGGAGATATAGATGAAGTGCTGAGAGAAAAGAATCCAATAATTTATATTCAACAATAATATCCTTCAGTAACAAAAGCCAAATAAAAGCATTCTCAGATAAAGGAGTCCAGGCGACGTTTCTAAGAAAAAAAAAAATTGCTAAAGAAAGTGTGTCAGGAAAATGATACTAAAGAGAAACTAGAAACTTCATGAACAAAGAAAAAGCAATAGAAAATTGTAATGAGTCGAGTATAAAATATACTTATTTTCTTGTAAGCCCTTTAAAATTCATATATATCTGTGGAAATTATAAAGGTATAGTGTTAAATGAGGGGTTTGAAGCTATGTTGCTGTAATATATGTGACAAGTGTAACAAAAGGGGGTAAAGGACTTATGAATTTGTAAGACTAATCTCTTTTCACTAAAGTGGTAAAATATTAACTCTGAAAATATTGTAAAAGATTGTTACGTATGTTATAATCTCTAGATTAACCTCAAATATTAGGTTTAATTATCTGGTGACCAGCCTAAAAAATCTCCAGATAAATTGAAACATAATACTGAAATTATTCAAACACAAAGTAAGTCAGTAAAGTGAAAAAAAGGGGAACAAAAGATGGAAGCAAATAATAAAATGTCAAACCTAATTTTGACCATCGCAGTAATTAGATAGCATGTAAATAGTCTATAGTCTAAATGTACAATCAAAAGGCACAGATTGCCAAATTGAATAAAATCGGACCCATCTGTATATTATTTATAAGAAATCACCTCGACCGGGTGCGGGGGCTCAAGCCTGTAATCCCAGCACTTTGGGAGACCGAGGCGGGTGGATCACGAGGTCAAGAGATGGAGACCATCCTGGTCAACATGGTGAAACCCCGTCTCTACTAAAAATACAAAAAATTAGCTGGGCATGGTGGCGCGTGCCTGTTATCCCAGCTACTCAGGAGGCTGAGGGAGGAGAATTGCCTGAACCCAGGAGGTGGAGGTTGTGGTGAGCCGAGATCGCGCCATTGCACTCCAGCCTGGGTAACAAGAGTGAAACTCCGTCTAAAAAAAAAAAATCACCTCAAATATAAAAGTAAAACATGGAGAACTAATAAAAATACAGACAAAAAGATAGAGAAAGCTACACTATGCAAACAATAACGAAAAGAAAGTGGGAATGGCTATCTTAAAATCAGACAAATTATACTCAGGACACTGAAAAATACCAGCGATAAAGAAGGATATTATATGACTATAAAAGGTCATTTCAACCAGAATCCATAAAAATCTTCAATGTGTACAGACCTATCATGATTTTGTTTTGTTTTGTTTTTTTTGGTAATTCTGCACAAATCAGTGTAAGATTTCTTGATATTTTGAGATATACAATGATCAGCTAATATTATGACTGAGTTATTTTATTTAGCTATTTAATTTTACCAATGTATTAGACAAAGGTATGTTTCTTTGTAAAGATATGCAATGTTAAGTAAGTAATCTATTTTTAATCAGGCAGATGACACTCTCTTGAATAACTATTGAAATATTTATGGCTTTATCAATTTTGCTATGACAATCCAGGGTATTCTGAGACCCAACAAAGTCAGGAGGATTTCTTATTATCTCAAAACACTTTTTTTTGTACAGGATGCATGAAGGAAGTGTGATTATATAATGATCAGAATGCTGATACTTCAATGATGTCCCATGTTCAAAGACTGTTAATACATTTCTCTTCATATAAATTCCAAGCAGAGTCAAAATTGTGGGATTAACTTATGCAGCAGTGAAGAGGGTGCAAGAAAGGAAACCACTTAGACTTTGATTAACCTTCCTTTAGAATTCAGGACACAAGATCATTATAATCCATCAATTAATCTGCCTTCATAAGTAATTCAAATTAGTCAAAGGAAAACAGTCTCAATATAATAAAGTTTTTTTCTATCAATAATCAGCTCAAACACATTTACCATTCAAATGCATTTTAATACACTGTATATTTATTTTTAGTGGCAACTCTATTTCTGTAAACTAGACTCATTATTATGGTTACATATTAAAAGTAAAAGTCCCTACACAAATGAGATTATAACTGTTGAGAAATCTCAAAGATATTACATTATATTTTTCCCTACAGAAAATATTAGTTGCCTCTAATCTCATACTTTTCACATCATCAATCAGTTCTCATTGAACTTAGGATTATTCTTTACCAGCATTAGTTGAAATAATTTAACAATTATATGTAGGCTTAAAGCCTATACATTTTATAAATTGATAGCCCTAAAAGATATAAAACTGAACTTACATTAGTTAACTAACAAAAGAATTATTCAGCAAGTAGTTTTGTAACAGGTTAAAATGACTATAAAAGATACTATCTACCATATAAGTCAATATCCTCAATATAAAAATGTATGAGGTCAATTCTCTTTGAATTTATTTCAGGAACTATTTATCTCTTATGAAGAGCTGACATTTATTTTTATAATTGGACAATGAGTACTTTATATACTATAGTATTGCTATTTTCTTAATTAATAAACCTTATTTTTTAGAACAATTTTCAGTTCACAGCAAATTGGCCAAAAATACGGGCAATTCCCATATACGTACCCCAGTCCTTCCCAACACCAAATCCCCCCCCCATCATCCACATTCTACACCATAATGGTACCTTTGTTACAACAGATGAACTTACAATGACACATCATCATCACTCAAAGTTCATAGTTTATATTAGGGTTCATCCTTGGTGTTGTATATTTCATGGGTTTTGACAAATGTTGACATGCATTCACCACAGTAGTATTATAAGAATAGTTTCACTACCCAAAAACCCTCTGTGTTCTGCCTATTTATATACTATGACATTCCCTTAAATACATATATTTGCTTCCTTGGTGCTCTGAAATATCATGAATGCTTCATTATATCCAATGAAAGCAAATTAAACAAACTAATCTTTCCCTACGAAAACCCCCTTGGTTCCCCGGGGTACTTTCTTAATTCACTTTTCCTCTTCACAGGAAATTTCAAAAATATATTCCTAAGGTTACTGCTTCCACTTTCTTATCCCCTTTTCTCTCAATCTTGAATTTCTGACCCACCACTCCACTGGGAGTATATTTACAATACTTTCTTGCCTGATTCAAATATGGTTTGTTTCTCTGTCTTCATTTTGCTGAAGCTCTGAAACAATATTCAGGTCAGTGGAACCCTCTCTTCCTTACTGACAAATTCTGTATCTGTTACACTGTACAATCTTGTTTGTCTCCAAACTCACCTTTTCAGTGATTTCTTCTTCACAACTTGACCTCAATCTCAATTATGTTCTTCACCTTTTATGTTCTTTATGTTTGTCCTTTTATATGTGTAATCTAACATCACTAAGACAGGACCCATGATCTCTCCTGGCACAAATGTTTTCTCTTCTGATATCTCTGTCTCATGGCACAATGAAAATCACATCTCAGCCTTTTCCTGGAACATACCTTTCATAGAATTCTCATTGCATTTAGAAAGAAATGTCTTCCAAAATTCTATCCTACCTCCCTGACATTACTTCCTACCACTTTCCTTCTCATTTATCATGCTTCAAACACAGGCTTTTCACTAGCTCCGAAGACCAAGTTGTTACCCTCCTTAATACTTTTACCTTTGCACTGCTGATTTCTCCTTTTGAAAATACCAGAAACAACAACTGGATCTTTCATCTCATTCTGGTATCAATTTAAGTGCCATCTCCTTAGCTGTGTTTTCTCTGACCATCCAATTTAAAATTGACTCCTTCGAGAAATGATTAGAAGTTTATTTAACTCATTGATTTTTATTGTTTTACAAGTACTCATTACTATCAGAAGTTACTGAATTCATTTCAGAATTTACTTGCCTATTTTCTGTCTCTCACTGTCTCTCTCCCTCCCTGCCTGCCGCATTTAAGACCATAAGTTCCATGAGAATAGAGACCTTTTCCACCTTTTCATTTCTACATCCCATATTCTTAAAATGAATGCCTGACTTGGAGCAGATTCATACTAGATATGGAGAATAAGTGGGAAAAAATCTGTGATGTGGAAGAGCTCTCTAAACTGAGACATCTAGTAAAGTAAGTATTTCCTTCTCGTGTAAGGTCCAGAAAAATAAACGGCACAGACTCTGGAATCCCTTAAAACCTATGCATAATCACTCCTTATAATTTCAGATTTCTTTTTGACTAGGTGTTTTCCCATTTCTTCATGTCTTTCTTTAAGCTACTTCAACATGTTTTGCAAGTTTGGAGAGAGAAACGTGTTAGAGGGAATAAATGAAATGAGTAGCTACAATGCACAAATTCTAGTTTTGTAGTAGGAGGAATAATGTAAAGTTTTAAACTAGCTTTATCTGTCTTCACATAATTCTATTATTTCTGGAGAGTCAAATCTAAGAGCCTGTAATATCAGGCAACAAAAAATTATCACAATTAAGAAAAATCTAAGCTTTCATAGGAGACGGCCAGATTTACCGGAAAAGTCTTTATTAAGACGTTAGAGGTTACCAGATCTTGATAGGCATCAGTGAATTTAAACAATTTGCAATAAATTGAAATAAACATTAGAAGTCATGAATGAGGAATATAAAATATTCTCGAATCAAAGACCATAGTCCATCTCTCCGGCAAATACAGCCACCATTCTGCAGTTGTTTCTGTGTGCACCAATGTGTTCAACCTTAAATGAACACCTTTCCAAAATATAGAAAAAACATGTGCTCTTGAATATAACTTGTCACCAACATTTTGTTGAAGAACTTTTGTATTCATCTTCATCAGGAACGGCAGTCTGTAGCTTCCATTTCTTGTGGTTTTCCTCCTCTTTTTAATGTAGACATTCCACTAGCAACTTCCCTCTTAGCACTGCTTTTGCTGCATCCTGTAAGTTTTAGTGCATTGTGTTTTTGTTTTCATTTGTCTTGAGATACTTTTTAATTTCTCTTCTGAGTTCTTTTCTGACCCAGTGGTTTTTCAAGAATTGCTTTTAAATTTCCCTGGATTTGTAACTTTTCCTATTATCTTACTTGAAAACCTGCTAATGTGGTAGATACTATGTTACATGTTCTTATCACAAAACACAACAATAATATTAGAGAGCATAGGAGGAAACTTTCGGCAAGTATAGATATATTTATAACATAGATTGAGATGATGCTTTCACAGATGTATACTTATTTCCAAACTCACCAAGCTGTATATATTATGTACAGCTTATTACATGTCAATAATACTTCAGTAAAGTGGTTTAAAGACTCTTAGATAATACATCTAAAAACCATTGTAATTTTTAAAAATAAATTATAGTATTTACCTTAATTCAACATATAGTACAAAATGTATATTAATCCATTAAATAAAAATAATAATCTTGGAAGTATTTATTCTTGACTTATTGTCAAGATTGGATGAGAAAAAAATGCCAATAGACTAGAATTCGATATAAGAAAGATAAACACCTAGGGAGAAGATTGAAGGAAATTGAAGTGGAACATCAGCAACATGTAGCATGAATCAGTCACAACAAACGTGAACAAAAAGATCTGTTACATGGTGCTGGAAATGACGATCTTCCCTTGCTCAAACTGTATGACCACCCTTGAAAATAATGGCCATTGCTAAACAGGCAAAATAAAATTGAAGTATTAACACTTTTTCTTTATAATTGTTTGTATGCAAAGGATTTGCCTATGAACACGTAAGTTCTAATGGAACAAATCTTTATCCTACGTAGTATGTATGCAGATCACTGTTTTTAAGAGTAAAATCATGCGAAATAAAAAGCTATGAAAATCAAAGGATCAATCTAAGCACTCGTGATGAGCCTACTTTTCAAAAACAGTACTGTCATAAAAGAAGAAAAAACTCTTCAACACATTTTTTTTTCAATTTCTAAAATGTATAATATTTGAGAGCCATGAAATGCATAGAGCTACAGCAACTGTATAAGCAAATATCAAATCTAAAAAGAGGAAATATGTGTTTGTCATAATAAAGTTATTTTAAGAAAAAAATACTGAAGGCAGAAAGGTTAATGAGAGATGAGATGGGGAAAAGGGATTGAGAAATTTTCCTAGAATTTAGAGAAAAGGCATAAAAAGATTGTGCCAAAAATGTAAGAGATGTGGCCGGGCACGGTGGCTCACACCTGTAATCCGAGCACTTTGGGAGGCCGAGGAAGGTGGATCGTGAGGTCAAGAAATCGAGACCATCCTGGTCAACATGGTGAAACCCCGTCTCTACTAAAAATACAAAATATATATATATATATATATATATATATAGCTGGGCACGGTGGCATGTGCCTGTATTCCTGGCTACTCATGGGGGCTGAGGCAGGCTAATTGCCTGAACCCAGGAGGCGGAGGTTGCGGTGAGCCGAGATTGCACCATTGCACTCCAGCCTGGGTAACAAGAGCGAAATAGTCGCAAAAAAAAAAAAAATGTAAGAGATGTGCATAAAAGATTCTAGATGTCTAACGTGTGAGCTGAAATTTCATAAATAAAATGGTAAGCATAAATTTAAAAAGCAGAGAGAAAAGTGGAATGAAAGATTTTTGTTGGGTAGAGGGGTAAAAAACAAAATTGTTCTTCAGATAATTTTAATTTAATATTGGTCAATAACATTAAATGATAGAAATAACTAAGCTTTTCCTAGGAGATAACTTTGCATTTAATGGTTAAACAATCCCTGCAATTATCTAGACTCAAGGAAAATAAATATTTTATAAGAATATACAAAGAGACAACAAACAATTGGGTATGAAATATCTCTTTTGCCACGCTAAACCTGACAATAACCAAGTTACTCTATTTCTTTTTACTTCTATTCAGTTCTAAAATGGTAATAGTTTTATTTTTCTTTTTCTTGAAACAGATTCTAGCTCTGTTGCCCAGGCTGGTGTACAGTGCCACAATCTCGACTCACTGCAACCTCCTCCTCCCAGGTTTAAGCAATTCTCCCTCTTCGGTCTCCCAATTAGCTGGGATTACAGGTGTGCACCAACACCGCCCAGCCAATATTTTACATATTTAGTAGAGATGGTGTTTCACCATACTGGCCAGGCTCGTCTTGAACTCCTGACCTCAAATGATCCACCCATCTCAGACTCCCAAAGTACTGAGATTACAGGAAAAAGGGGATAATTTTTAAGCATCATACATTCATTCTGAGGCTCATTTAAGATGATGTACGTTGAAGACTTGGCACAGTGATTGCTCCGTGATAAATGGCTAATAAATAGTACTTAATTATGGTTATTTAGATTATAAATATAAATTATTTATGTAGAATTTTGACATGAACTGCATAGAACAAGTTTGACAGTAAATGATTTTTATATGCAAAGAATCAACCATTAATTATGCTCTGTTCATGCTCAGTTTTCCACAGTGCTCAGTTTTCTGTTCTATTGAGGCAGTGATAATATGGGTTAAGTTGAGACATTGTCAGGATAATACAAATAGGGAAAAAAGCTAAAAAGGTAAATATTGGATATTAATGAAAAGAAAATCAGAATGTTAATTCCAGATTGAAAAAGTGTGTTAGAAAAAGAGAAAATAGGCCGGGCGCGGTGGCTCAAGCCTGTAATCCCAGCACTTTGGGAGGCCGAGGCGGGTGGATCACGAGGTCGAGAGATCGAGACCAACCTGGTCAACATGGTGAAACCCCGTCTCTACTAAAATACAAAAAATTAGCTGGGCATGGTGGCGCGTGCCTGTAATCCCGGCTCCTCAGGAGGCTGAGGCAGGAGAATTGCCTGAACCCAGGAGGCGGAGGTTGCGGTGAGCCGAGATCGCGCCATTGCACACTCCAGCCTGGGTAACAAGAGCGAAACTCCGTCTCAAAAAAAAAAAAAATGAAAAATGAAAAATGAAAAAGAGAAAATAAGTTTCTGCATGAAAACTAAAAAGCAAAATCTATAACAGCAGCATCTTGAGGAGAGACCACACAGGAGCTCATAGGACAAATTTTACATTATTTTAATTTTTGAACATTACATTCAAAAAAGGAAGTTGAAAATATTAGATCCAGAGGGTAGTGGTGTTGGGGGGCAGGTGTTGGGGGGCAGGTCTTCAGAAAAATAACATCAGAAACTTTTAATATAAGAGAATCTTCATCCAATCCTGAGCTCAGAGCATGTGGGGTTCAGAATTGGTGAATCCCGATGTCACAGGATAGACGATGAGTCTCCCATGGTGTCCTCAGTAGCAGCAGCCAAAGCCAGAGCCATAGCCAGAGCCGCATCCATAGCCACAGCCACAGAGGGAGCGGGAGCCATAGCCATAGCCACAGCCCAGTCTGCGGAAGCCACAGCAGGAGCCATAGCCACAGCCAAGGCCTCCGTAGCCATAGCCCAGACCTCCGTAGCCACAGCAGGAGCCATAGCCACAGCCCAGGCCTCCGTAGCCACAGCCCAGGCCTCCATAGCCACAGCACCCATAGCCACGGCCGCCATAGTAATTTCCGTAGTAGCTGCCACACATGGTGATGGTTGTTGAGGTTTGTCCTTGGGTAGGAAGGAGTGAAGGTGACTTCAGTTTGGATGCTTCTCCCTGTAGAAGGCCTTTTATATGCCTCAGAATGGGAATGATTCAGCAGAGGTGGCATACTATTGGCTAATTTTTTGACTAATATAATTAGTTTGTTTTTTTCTCAATTGTAAGATAATGTGTCAGAGGCATTAAGGAGGCTTGTTTTGTTTGGTCTCTCAATTTGGGCTCCACTTATCTGATTGAGGGCTCAGATGAAAGGAGACCTCACACACAGTTCATACAATCCTGCCTCAAACTAGACTTTCATTCTAACCTTCTAAAGCCATCCTTTCCATCAAGAAAGAAAACTTTAGTTAGTTACAATCTTGTTTGCTCTCAGCCCCAATTAATTTTACTCTTTTTTGCATGACATTTCACAAAGAATAACATTCCTTTGACTTTTTAATATTTCTTCCCTTTATCCAAACAATACTCTTTTCAAAGATTTAGTGTCTTTTCTATACTAAAGCCATAATGATGATAATAATTCAACTAGTTAAAAATTCTAGAAAACCAGATCTGAGAAAAATTTGTTATATTTTCCTACTTTTGCCAGTGACTCTAATTTTCCTTTATGATCAACCTCTACAAAGCATAAGAAAATATAAGTTATTGACTTGATTTATGGAATAATTAATGAAAGACCAAGTCAATGTAATGGAACAGTTGTTTTTTTATTCTCTTTTGACTTCTTCTCTTTTTATTCTCTTTTGATGAGGCGTGGAGAGAATTGTCAAAATAGTACAGAAAATTTTCCTATACCCATCATTCAACACCCCTAATATTAATATCTTTCATAACCATAATCCACTTATCAAACCAAAGAAATTAACTATGTACAGTATTCTTAACTAAACTACAGACTTCATATTTCCATTTTTTTGTTTTTATTAATTTATTTTATTTTAAGTTCTAGGACCATCACTGACTGTAGTACTATTCATATTTTTCTTTTCTTTTCTTTTCTTTTTTTTTTTTTTTTTTTTTTGAGACGGAGTTTCGCTCTTGTTACCCAGGCTGGAGTGCAATGGTGTGATCTCAGCTCACCACAACCTCTGCCTCCTGGGTTCAGGCAATTCTCCTGCCTCAGCCTCCCGAGTAGCTGGGATTACAGGCACACGCCACCATGCCCAGCTAATTTTTTTGTATTTTTAGTAGAGACGGGGTTTCACCATGTTGACCAGGATGGTCTCGATCACTTGACCTTGTGATCCACCCGCCTCGGCCTCCCAAAGTGCTGGAATTACAGGCGTGAGCCACCGCGTCCGGCCGTCACATCTTTCTTTTAATGTTCTTTCTTCTGTTCTTGGATCCACGTTGCATTTGGTTTTTGTACCTCTTAGTCTCCCCCAATTGCTCACAGTTCATTGGTCTTTTCTTGACTTTTGTGACCTTGACAATTTTAGAGAGTCCGATATTTTATGGAATATTCCCCAGTTGAATTTGTCTGAGGTTTTCTGCTAGTAGATTGGGGTTATACATTTGGGGCAAGAATGCCAGAAGACATGTGACTCCCGTCATGTGCCATCTCAGGGAGTCATGATGTCAATCAATCTTTGAGTAATTCTGGAGTTGTCTTAAAATTCAGGTTTCCAATAGAAGTCCTTTCCTTACTATATATGTAGAATCAATGAAGTTAAAAATAAAAGTCTCTTCCATGGTTTTGAATCACATATAAAATGGTAGGCACATGTGAAGTATAAACCAAAGTGAATGATATTGCCCCCCAAAAAGTGATGACACACCTTATTACTGAGCATTTTACAAAGATATGCTGCCACCGTGACTTTTCTTACAAGCTTATCATCCTTTCTTATCTCTTTGGAGCTACACTTTTAGTCTCAAATCTGCATATATGTAGATAGGCTGAAGGATATTATTGGGTGAAAGTAGGATTTTTTAAAAGTGGAAGCTGTTGCACCTGTAATCCCAGCACTTTGGGAGGCTGAAGTGGTCAGATCATGAGGTCAGGAGATTGAGACCATCCTGGACAACATGATGAAACCCCATCTCTACTAAAAATACAAAAATTTGCCAGGTGTAATGGCATGTGCCTGTAATCCCAGCTACTCAGGAGGCTGAGGCAGGAGAATTGCTTCAACCCAGGAGGCGGAGGTTGCAGTGAGATTGCACCACTGCACTCTAGCCTGGCAACAGAGCTACCCTTCATCTCAAAAAAAAAAGAAGTGGAAACCATATGGGTTACTCTTGATTGCTGGTAATATAGTTTAAATTTGATATCTGGAATAAACAAGTCAACAAAATAGAAGAAGAATCTCTTATTAAAGGCACATTATTTCATGACATTCAACATTCCTGAAAAACAGCAATGTTGTCTTGGAAGTGTTGATTACAAGGAATATTTTAGATGGCTTCAATGCTAATTAGTGTGCAATGAGAATACAACATTGCCTGTGGTTTGCCCCACATACCACTCGTGTGGTGTTTAAAGCCCTTATTATAACCTTAAAACTCTAAAATCTGACCCTGCTATACAACTGAGACTAACCTTCTTGAAACCATGAGCTTTTATAACGACTACCATGGTGGCTAGGGCTATGGCAAAGGAGTTCTGGGCTGCAGCTGTGGCTGTGGTCATAGTGACTATGGCTGTGCTTGCTACTGCCCATGTGCTATGAAAGATCTTGGTTTTCTGGCTGCTTCTGAGAAATTCAAGATTGCTGATCTGTTAAGGCCACTCTCTTATGAGGTACATTTTCTTCCCATGTTATTTATAATAAAAACATTTTTTTCTGCTCAAAGGGTGACAACTAAAATTTAGCCCACATTGCCATATCAGAATTGATTTGGTCAACTAGCTGACAGTTTCAGCAATTTAAATGAACAAAATAGAACCTTTGATGTTGTGTTACTAGTATATGATTAAGTACAAATAATCTTAAGCATTTTCATTCAGGAAAATGTCTAAATTTATTTTTTATCAAAAGTAATCTATTTTGCAAACCTACAGCATTTTCCTACCTATATGTGTTTATCTAGACTGCCTATATTATTTGTGATTGTATGTGTGTGTTCATGAGCACATGTGTAATGTTGCTGACCCACTGGAAACTTATAGTTGATATATAGGTCTGACCAATAGCTATATTCAACCAGTACTTTAATAAAATGTGTTTTCATGGGTAGAACCAAGTGGTATTATAATTTACCTTGATCTATCAAAGCCTCATCTTCAGTATATCCAATGTTTGACTAAAATCAATGGCAATGACCCTATCAAAAAGTGGGCAAGGGGTATGAACAGACACTTTTCAAAAGAAGACATTTATGCAGACAACAAACATATGAATAAAAGCTCGTCATCACTGGTCATTAGAGAAATGAAAATCAAAATAACATTGATGTCACCTCATGCCAGTTAGAATGACAATCATTAAAAAATCAGGAGACAATAGATGCTGGAGAGGATGTGGAGAAATAGGAATACTTTCACACTGTTGGTGGGAGTGTACATTAGTTCAACCATTGCAGAAGATAGTGTGGCAATTCCTAAAGGATCTAGAAATAGAAATTCCATTTAACAAAGCAATCCCATTACTGGGTATATATCCAAAGGACTATAAATTATTCTATTATAAAGACACATGCACATGTATGTTTATTGTGGCACTGTTCACAACAGCAAAGACTTGGAACCAACCCAAATGTCCATCATTGATGGACTGGATAAAGAAAATGTAGCACATATACACCATGGAATACTATGCAGCTGTGTAAAAGGATGTTTATGTCCTTTGTAGAGACACGGATGAATCTGGAAACCATCATTCTCAGCAACCTGACACAAGAACAGAAAACCAAACACTGCGTGTTCTCATTCATAAGTGGGCGTTGAAAAATGAGAGCACACAGACACAGGGAGGGGAACATCACACACCGGAGCCTGGTGGGCGGGGGCCTAGTGGAGGAATAGCAGGGAACGGGGGGATTGGAGAGGGATAGCATTAGGAGAAACACCTAATGTAGATGACGGGGTGATGGATGCAGCAAACCACCACCATGGCACTTGTATACCTATGTAACAAATCTATACCATCTGCACATGTGCCCCAGAACTTAAAGTATAATAAATAAATTTTTTAAATATAGCACCTCCTTTCTCATCAATTTATTGCACATATATTATATATATATATTGATACTTAGCTACATTTTTGTCTCTAAACAGCTGTAACTTTTTCTCTAAATCCTATATTATGGCTGTTTCTTTTAACTCTTTGGCAAAATATGCTCTTGAACTCATTCTATGCATGCTTGCTGCATAGAGAGCTATTCCTAGTGTCATTCCCATGTGATCACAAAGAGTCCATCAAATTTAAGTATGTTTCTGTGAACCTTTTATCAAGGCCAACATCTGCTCACCCTCAGGCCAAAAGCCTTTTATCATTCATAACAAAGTATTAGCTCAGGTAATAGTTTGTTCATGAAAACACAAGTCCGACCCAAAATATAAGCTGAAAAGTACAGACTTCAACTTACCTGCCTTGTTCAAGTTAAGCAAAGCTGTTCTTTATTCACTCTTTATTCAATCAACATTGATAAACTATAAAGCAAAAATGTCTTCTAATCTTTTAGTGACTAATGCTAGAATTTGGGGGTTCTAAGACTGATAAAATATTCATACAAAATTACTCTGTTAATGGCTATCATAGTATGAAGTTGGCTAAACTCTTAACTGGCTTCCAAATACATGATTCTTTAAAACATTCAGATGAAACAATAATGTAGAATTTTTAAAACTTCTTCGTCAATTAAAGACAGACAACATACAGAGCTGTGCCTCTCTGATATCTCCAAGTATTGACAGAGAGTGAAACTGAAGGGAGCCTGAAGAAAGCATCTTTGCTCACAGCCTTGGCTTTGGTTCTGCCATCGTGGGCCGGAATCTTAAGAAACAGATTCCCAGAATGTCCTATATTAGCATAGTCAAAAAAAAAAAAAAAACAGAGTAAGAACTATGTAAAACCTAT